TCGTTCTCAGCTGAGCAAACACATTATTTGGCTTCTTGTGGGTGCGCCTGTGTTCCCTCACCTGAAAGGACCTCTCCATGGTGATGGCAAAGTAGTATTCTCTGCGTGGGTACCTGCGCTCGCAGATGAACACCTGGTTGCAGATACGACCCGCCTCCCCGGTCTGCTTGGTGTACAGCTTTCGACCAATCATCTGAGATGAAATGTCTCGGGCTTCCTCTGGCCTGGAGATGAGGAGAAGACAGGAAATTGAAAACTTTTTAATGCATAACAAGTTAATTAGAAAACTTATGAAACAAATAGATAAAAACCTGTAAGGACAATACAAACTAAAATTATTAAACAGCTACTTGAGTTTATTAACATTTATATCATATCTGTCAGCACTACTTTCCTGAGCTAGTCAGTAAGCAGGAGAATGAGGATGGACACAGTTACCAAGGTTGTAAGTGTAATCTGCTCCGTGTATTGTACGGTGCAGAAAAAGTTAATTTCCACTCTTTACAGCCTTTGTCCTCTAAACAACAGTATGCAAAGTCTGTGCAGTAACTTCTGAAAACAGACAATAGAACAGGCTTGTCAAACTCATTAAGAGGAAATGAATAGTCCAATTAATTATTTTGTTCTTCAGATGAAGTCTGGAGTTCATTTTCATCCATTTTTCAGTATTACTGCAGTTTGTTGCTGCCATACTGGAGACACTTTGCCAAGTAGGCAGCATTTTCCAATTACACAGCAGTCAGCTGTGCTAAATAAAAATTAATGAAGCACTTTGATGACTACAGCAGCTCAGATATTCAATCAGCTCTACAATCTGTAGGCATGAGAAAGACCCCTCACAATTTTCCAGCAGTGGAAACAGCCCAGAAAATCCTCAGCAAGTGCAGACTTAGCAATGCTAAGAAACTACAAAAAACACAGGAGCTACATCTCAGACCCTACAGACCGTAGCTAGCATGTCAAAGTTCATGATAGCACAGTTGTGATGACTTCAAGTTTTTTACGTTATTGTTGCTAAAGATCTTTTTATAAGCTATCGAATCGCAGGCTGTTTTTCACAGAAGTGCATAGAGTCGTGGGAAAACATTCTTCAAATGACCGCATATTCACTACTCAAGGTAGGGTAGGTTAAATTGATTAGCACGTAAACATGGTCAAACATCATTAAGGTCTCTAAACACAGCACTGTTTCTTCATACAGAAGGAGCTGAACTCCCTGGTGTCTTCCACCTCCCTCTTCATGTATGTGTTCTCCTCTCCTCCTTTCTGTGCCACAACATGATGAGGAGCTAGGGTGATCGTTATTTACCGTTATCTCTCCTACAATCTTTCCACTCCCATGGCCAACACAAACATTTCCTGCTGATCCTGTTTCATGTTAATAATCTTAAACATGGGTTTTACTGTGAAGCAGCAAAACATACTCTTTGGTACACGCGTAAGTGAGGACAGGATTTTATCTAAGATGTGTTTACATATAGACAATCGTAATTTAGCCGATTTGTTGCCAGTAACGACTTATTTTGTTTAATTATAAAGGGTGGGTTACTTACGAGTAGACGATCCTCACTCCTCCCTTTAGTCCACCTTCAAACGTCCCTTTTCCTCTGCCGCCAGCCAGAACCTGAGCTTTCACCACAAGGTCCTTTGAACCTAACACACACACACACACACACACACACAGAGATATTAAATGCACTAAATGTCATAGTAACTAATCAGTTACATGATAGACCGGCCAGAAATGAAGTTTGTACATTGTTAATATCAAGTAAAAAACTATCCTGGTTCTCTGTTAATATTTGCACTCACATATTTCAAATGTGTGTTTGCTGCTTTATACATAAATGTACCAATCACTGCTCTACTTCAATTTTGATATTAACAGAAACAGACCTCCATTTGTATTCTTTCTGTAGTGACACAACGTTTAGATGGACTAATTTGATCTTATTCCCCTGTCACGCATAAACAATGTGGCCAGAGGCTTACAAGACACCATGAGGCTTTTGCAATAATGGCTGAGTTTAAAAGTGAGAGGAAGGACTCCAGTTGGCAACTAACGCACCCATGACCGTTTCAAAAATATGCAGTGACACAAAGCTCTGGGTCATAGTTGAGTTTTATTTGAAGG